GTGTATCTAGTCAGAATGCCATCGGCCATTTGCAGCCTGACACATGCACATGTCCTTGCGACTCCAAGCCCAGAGTGAAAGTTTATTTAGCTTTTTACCATTTCCTGCGCAAAGTCAAATAGTTTAAAATGTGTCACTAGTTTTGCCATTTGTTTACATATAAATAAATATATATATATTTATTTTTTTTTGTTATTTAGTTTTTCTGGAGTCACATAAATAAATATTATATGTTATATTTACGCCCAGAGCAAGTGAACTTTCCGAGTTGGATGAGTTTTGTGTTTTAAACATTGAAATTGAAATGTCATCAGAAATAAAAAAACACATGGAAGTCCTTGACTCATTCATGCAAATGCAAAACGAAAATCTAACACAATTGATAAGAAACTTAATTGTATCTCACAAACATGGCCTACAAGTGAAACTTTAAATGCCTCAAGAATTTTATGTATTTAAATATTATTATTATTTATATAAGTGAATTGAGTGTATATATAAGAGACAGCTGCAGCTATCCACAAGTTAATAATTATAGATGAATGATTTTGAGCACTAGCGACTTCTAGAGAGCATGCTTCAATATTCATTAACTATGTATTGTATACTAGGATCGTTATCTACTTTTCAAGTAATGCTAACTCAGGTCGAATTAAAATCATTTCCATAATAATCAATTGTTCTTAATGTTAATCAAAGTAAACTCTCAGAGCAGAAAAGCATAAAAAGTCTGAGCTTAAAATTGTCAAAATATTAATTTTATTAATAAAAACAAAACAAAACAAAACAATTAAATTAAATAAATAAATTAAGGATAACAAAAATTATTTTTTCTATAATTATAAAATAAATTGGACAAACAAATAAAAATTTAATTATAAATATATAATATATATTTATATAATAAATAAGCGAAATAAATTATTATGTCCTATCTACAATTAGAAAAATACAGAATTTCTTTTAATTTTTAGTCATATATTTTTATATAGTTACATTGAAAAATAAAATAAATTAGATTGGTTATCGCAGATAAATTATAAATGTATATACAAAAATATTCAATAAAATTAATATAAAAGAAAGTCGATAATATATAGAAAACAAGTTTACCTGTTAATATACAAATATTTTCATTAGAAATTAAAACATAATAAAGTTTTTATACTTCAGCTACTGTCACTTATTCAAACAATTCATTTTTAAATATTTAAGAACTTAGCTTTTAGCTTTCTTCAAACAAAAATTTAAAAGCTGCAAGAACCAAATGCTCAACCGCAAAGCACTGATGACCGTAAACCAAGCCGTAGCCCAGTCCCTGGGATATTTTTGTTTTATTTTCTATTTTGTGGAGCTTCTTTAAGCTCCAAACATTTTGCTTAGTTTGGCAAAAACACGCAGCGACCATTTTTCATATTTTCATTTATAAATTTATTATAAAGCCAACAGCAGCAGCAGCAGCAGCAGCAGCAACAACAGCAGCAGCAGTGAGAGCAACAGCTACTCTCTGCTAGTGGATGGGCTTAATAGCTACTATTTGCCCCTGCCCCCACTGCAGTCCCCATCCCCTACCCGACTACGGCTCCTGCTCATGTCCCTGCTTTTGCCACTCCTGCTGCCACACAGCACAACCCACTCTGGCAGTGCTCATGGCTGCGGTTTAGAGCAACGGCTACTTTGGCATTTATTTTAAATTATAGTTCGCAGTAATAACTAATGCTCAAAGAGCAGTTGCTGCTGCTGTTGTTGTTGTTGTTGTTGGTTGCTGCCAGTTGGTTTGGTTGTTGTCGCTGCCATGTACAGAAATTATAGACATTTCGGTCGGGGGCTTGTGTGTGTGTTTAGTTTTTAGCCGTTTAATGACAGTATTTGCTAGCTATGCCATACTTCTACGGCAGCTTGACATGAGATTCCGATCGGTTTATAGCGTCGAGGGGTTTTCAATTAAATTTGCTGCAAAGTGAATGTGGATTAAACAGTTTGACAAGTCATCTGCATAATTATGAAAACCAGTTGACATTTTTGCAGCCACTAATTGAAAATTCCTCAAGTCAAGCCAATGCTGTCAAACAGCTGGCAAGTTTCTCGCCAATTTCCATCCAACGACGACACAACAATGCCAATCGATGTATGTGTGTGTGTACGTAAATGTTGTGTGTTCTGTGTTGTGTGAACGTATTTCCACCATTATGGCAATCGCCCCTTTGGGGTCGCCTAATGGCCAAACACGCCTCCCAAACACTCCCCACACAAAACGTCAGTAAATATGAATGAGTTCCAGTTAATGAAATATTGAAATATGAATAGACAAACTCGCCTTCGTACACTCGAAAGCAATCATATGTCCATCAAGCACAACTTTGCCTGTCAAAGTCCAAAAGCGAAATGAGCTAAGCTCAAAAAGGATGAGCTGGACTAAGAAATACCCTTGAATACTGCTATCATAGATGCATCATTTTAATTCAAATAGCAATAGATACCCTGCTCTCTCAACAGCTCATATAAATAATGAATTTTCTTCAAAAATTACATTTGGTCCGTATACATTTTCACAAAGTAGACAAAAAAATAGAAGAAAAAAAAAAAACAATTTAATCGCAAAATTTCAGAGGAAATAAAGCCTTTACCGCGAAGAGCCTTTCTCCCATAAGCAAAAGCAAAAAAAAAGTAACCCGAAACAAACAAAAATTACAACGCTTAATTATGAAAAGTGTTTTTTTCTCTCCTCCATCAGTTCGTCAAGGAAAATGAGTAAAAATGTGGAAAACACACGAAACGAGTTAATGAGCGAAATTATAATGAAGTTTTTCGCTTCGCTGGGGCGTTCGACGAGTACCACGAGCCACCCTTGTGGCGCCAGCATGTGGGTCAGAGCTGTTCGGGCAGCGGCTGCCGCCTGTAATGGGGCTAATCAAATATTTGACATTTGTTTTGGACGGAGCTGCTGTTGAGCTCAACTTGTCTACTGTAAAACTCATTAGAATGGCTCTGCGTGGGCATGGACAGCACTTCTCAATGTTAAGATGGACAATCGGACGGAGCAGGGCAGGGCAGTCAGGCAGGGCAGTCAGCCGTGCAGTATGCTGCAAAATGTTTCATTAAAGTGCTTAACATTGCAACTGCAATCCAAGCAACAACCGCGAATAGCCAACAGCCAGCAGCCAACATCAACAGCCACATTAACAATGACGGCAACAACACCATGAAAAAATGCAGAGGAAAGTATGATATGAGCACAAATTGCAGCAACGAGTCAGCCAGATATTTAAATGACCTGCGCAGAAGTCTTATATATAAAAATTGTGTATCAAAATAAAATCAAAATTGAGAAAAGTTTAATGATAAATATATATAATTTTTTCGTTATCCAATGATTGCCTTTGAAACTAAAGAAATAAAAAATAAATAAAAAAAAAACAAAATATGTGTAGATATTTTATTTTAAAGCAATGATTATTTTAAAATATTTTAAATTATTTAACTTATTATATATATTTTATATTTTAATATATATTTTAATATATTAAAATATTTTGAATTATGTAACTTATTTGCATAAATTCAAATTTGAAAAAAAATAAACTTACTAGCAGACGACTACCATTTATTATTTATTCATGAATAAATTGTTTAGGAATAAACCAAAAAAAAAAAAAAAAATGCATATTCAAATAAAAATATTATTGATCATTTTTTAAATTTTTTTTGTTGGTAGTACCAATTTATTAAATCATATTTTCTATAAATTATATGATGTTATTTTGACTCTTCATTAACATATTATTGGCAATTAAATATCTATTATAATTTACTAGTATTATTTATAATATGCATTATATAATATATAAAATATATTTGTTAATATATGCTATGAATATGGCCGCTACCTATTTGAAGCTAAATGTAATTTAATGTAATTTAATTTTTTTGATTGTCGGCATATTATATTATAATATTATATTATATTAATATATTAAATATATGTTATAATAATTATAAATTATTTAATAAGGCTGATAATAAATGAACGATTAATGTTCTGGTTATAGTAAAAGCAAGATATAAATCACATATATCTATATATAAATAAAATTATACATTTCTATGTAATATAATTTAAATTTTATATCGCTTTAACTGTGAAATAACGTTATATGTCATTTTATTATAACAGCTAACAGTGACTCATTTCATCTAAATACATACAAAATTTTGTTTTATAATTCTAATTTTAATCACATGTATATTGCTTAGAGAAAAACTGTCCGCTATTATACAGCTGGTTTTATATTGACTTAGATTAGGGGTCGAACAACCTTCATTAATGTTCCTGATAGTCGGAATTGTAGATGCCAATGGGGAATTAAAGTGTAAACACAAACGAGTGGAGGAAAATGAAAAAGACAAAAACGGAAGCGGAAATGTTTAATGCGGGTTTGCTAGCACCGAGGACGATGCGTTGACGTGTCCAACTCGCCGGCCGGCCGGCCAACTGGATGGCTGGCCGAGACTGGCATCGAGACCGAAGCCGAGACCATGTTCATGTGAGTTACGCAGTAGCGAAAGCCGATAAATATTTATTTGCAAGTGTGTGTGCGTGTGTGTCTGTGTGTATTGTTGCGTGTGTGTGTGTATATGTTAATTAAGAATTTGCAGCAGGCTGGCAGACGATTAAATGTGTACGAAAATGTGCCGCCCACCACCCATTGACCCTACCGCACAGCCGCATGCTGTCCATTGCAATCGTTGGGCTGGACACGCAAAGGACAACCATTAGTTACGCTGAAGGGGCAAGGGTTGGCGCCGATAATCGAATGAATTAATGGAACACGCAAATGAAATAAAAATCGGCAGCGCCAGCGATTCATTTGGATAAATCTCTTAGTCGGCAGTACAAAGAGAAATTGTGGCCGAATATTCTATATCTACTAAAGACCATACCGAATCCCATCTGTAAAGTAGAATCAGCTAACTACCAAATCCATAAAAAGACAATGGAAATGAAATCAAAGTGGGAGTTTATAAATATCATTCATAACTATAACTATATTTTACGTCAGGCCTACTTTATACAGTGTTTATTACTCATTCTCTATAACAAATCAATATCAAGAGATTAATTTATTTCGACTTCACTTTCTTTGGATTCTTAACAGTCGTAGCTCTTTTCGACTTTTTAGTGATCTTTTCATAAGAATATTTAATGACTGTTTTAGCGATAAGCAAACTGATGACTACGATGCAAATAAGCAATGCATAAATATCCAAATTGTTGGCGGCTATAAAACTCATGTGGACGAGCGGACTCTGCAAATGAGCTGCTCCATGATGTCTCAGAACATACTCAATCCAATAGAGCACGCTTTGACGAGCTGTCAGTGGACGATCTCGGAAGAGTTGGGAAAATGCTTTCACTTTTTCTGTATATTGGGGATTTTCGAGCACTTCTTTGATGTTATCATGAAAAGGTTTCTCTTCCAGGGTTAGCAAGCTCATACTGAGTCCAAATCCATCCTTGACCATCTTGTCAGCATTGGCAGGCTGATCTCCAAACACCGGCAACGAGAGCATGGGTTTTCCATGAAACTGAGACTCAGTGATGCCCCCTCGTCCAGCATGATTAATGAAGAGTTTAATTTTGGGATGGGCGAGGATATCATCTTGAGGCAGCCACTTGGAGTAAAGAATATTATCTGATTTGCCTGGAGTTTTATCTAGATTTTCCCACTTCCAGATGACTTTCTGTTTCAGCTTTGACAGTACATTGAACATCTTTTGCACTGTGTCTGGCTTCAAGTAGGCCCCCTTCAAATTGGATCCTAGACTAAGAAGAATTGCTCCGTCTGTAGCATTTTGTAGAAAGTCGGCAATTGGCTTTGGCAGTGGATCGGGTTTTTCCTTAATTTGAATTCCTCCAACTTCTATTGCTCCTGGGAAGTTGGGCCGGATAGGGCCCTCACTCAGACCATGGGAATTGAAGAGGACGAGAGATACATTTTTGTTGAGATCTTCATATTTTGGCATACTCAAATCATTTCCGTAGAGCTCTCTGCAAAAAGTTTGAATAGATACAATATTTTCTTTGATCGAGGTACTTTTCACTTACTCGTAATAATTTGCATTATCTTTCTCCATAAGATACATAAATAATTTAAATACGTTGAGAAATATGTAATTGGTCAATCGTTGTCCAAAACTCATTGATTGGCCTTGTTCGAGGGAAATACCCATTGTTGGTACATAGGCCTCTGTTTGGATATCGCCCAGCATGGGGTTGAATAGGTCTGATTGAAACATTGAAGTCACCAACACCACTGGCACCTTCAGCTTCTGAGCGATGCCTATTTGAAAGCTATTGAAGAAGTAACCGACCATAACGAGATCGAACTTGTTATCCTTGTTCTCGTACAGATCTTTGACTCGTGGATCTTTCATGACATCACGGCTTTTGTTAAACATCGCCAACAATTCTTTTCGCATGCGAAATACAGCTGCAATCAGATCAGAATTGTCTCTTTCGGCCATTCCGGCTATGCTTGCCTCATAAGCTTTGCGCTCCTCCTCAGTAAGTGGAACGTAAATAAGATTTAGATTCTTGTGAGTGACATGCGGCTTCAGAGATGTGATCACTGTGACGTTGTGTCCATTCTCAGCCAACACCTTGGCCATAGACATTTCGACAATCAGATGCGAAGCAGAGGGGCAGCTGAATACTGCCAGAATGTTTGCCCCACTCGAGCCATGGATAAAGAGAACCGCAAGTAACGAGAGGAACAAAGTCTTAAGAGACATGTTGCCGGATAGAAGAGTCGTGGTGCACTGAGCTAGAACTACCAGGGGCGACGTATTAAATTCTAGCAGTTAAAAGTATTCCTACTGCTGAGCTCACGATGACATGCCATTATATGCGATACGCTTGGTTATCATTTAACATAATGTAATGATTAGAGCTGATAATATGAGCTACTGTTCGCCCGCTCACAAGAATTTTTAATCTGTCTGTTGGCTGAGTTGGTGAACGTGCTTTGCAAATTGATCTTATCGGTCAGAGCAATAGGTCTACTAAACTGATAAGTGACAATGCTGTATAATTTAGTAGAAAGTTCTGCTTAGTACGCCTGATTAGTGTTTATTTCATCATGATAATTAATAAAATAGTGCTCTTAAATGGGGCAAAGAATATCCGAGCTAGAGTCATGCATAGATCACGAGTATGGAGCTAGGATCTCGTTTTTAAATTATTCCAAGATTTTTTTAACCAGATTTCACAATGGAAAAATTTAAATAGTTATAGATTTATTTTGATTTATTTGTATTATCGAAATATTGAAGCATTGCGGCGGAAATTTTAAGTTGTAATCATCTGAGAACGGTTCCAAATCGAACTAATTAATCTTCCTTTTGTGTTTCTGTTTTAAGCATAGATCTCTCAGCAGCCTCCGATTTGTCTGACCGCTTAGGTAAGCTGAAATAAATAAATATTGGAACATCGTGGATAGCTAATGTTAACATGAGTCCTTTTTCAATTAGCAAAGACCATGACTTCCTTCAAATATTCCCATTATTATTTTAAAACAACAACCAAGTATTAAACTCTATTCCTTTATATGCTCATGCTCTAAGACTGCACGAATAGGAAGAATAGATATATATCAATCAAAAGTTTAGGTAGCCAAACATAACCAATAGATAGGCCTAATTCGATCATCATACTTTATCTATATTTCGTAATCGAACTGATCGCAGACATTTTTTTAAATTTTTAATTAATAACACAATATAATATTTTAAAATGTGTATCATATATGTATGTTAATTAGTGTAAATTCTGTCAATACAATTTCAAAACACAAATACATACATAAGCATATCATTCAAAATAATATTCATTAAAAAACATTATGTTTAAATATACACAGTACAATCCGAAGCAGTCAAATAATTCTATTGGATGTTCTGAAGTAATTGGTATACTGAAATCTGCATTAAAAATGCACTATGATGGAGATTGCCATTTGAGTCATGGCATAAAAAGTGTCCCAGAATATTGTTTTTGTGTAAGATGTCCTGAAATTTTCATTTTCGATAGTCAAATTGTCATAATTAATATTTATTTAAATATGAATTTACATATGACAAAATAAATTTTAACTTAAACAAATTTATTTATTGAATCGTAATAAGCCAAGTTTTCACGTCAAGCTCTTCTGATTTTTATAAAATATTAAATGCAAATGTAATTACGATAAATTTATATAGTCTTCACTTTCTTTGGATTCTTCACATACGTTGAACTATTCGACTTTCCAGTATATCTAATGATGTGTTTAACTATAAGCAAACACACGACTATGAGACAAATTAGCAATGCATAAATATCCAAATTATTGGCGGCTATAAAACTCATGTGGACGAGCGGACTCTGCAAATGAGCTGCTCCATGATGTCTCAGAACATACTCAATCCAATAGAGCACGCTTTGACGAGCTGTCAGTGGACGATCTCGGAAGAGTTGGGAAAATGCTTTCACTTTTTCTGTATATTGGGGATTCTCGAGCACTTCTTTGATGTTATCATGAAAAGGTTTCTCTTCCAGGGTTAGCAAGCTCATACTGAGTCCAAATCCATCCTTGACCATCTTGTCAGCATTGGCGGGCTGATCTCCAAACACCGGCAACGAGAGCATGGGTTTTCCATGAAACTGAGACTCTGTGATGCCCCCTCGTCCAGCATGATTAATGAAGAGTTTAATTTTGGGATGGGCGAGGATATCATCTTGAGGCAGCCACTTGGAGTAAAGAATATTATCTGATTTGCCTGGAATTTTATCTAGATTTTCCCACTTCCAGATGACTTTCTGTTTCAGCTTCGACAATACATTGAACATCTTTTGCACTGTGTCTGGCTTTAAATAGGCGCCCTTCAAGTGGGAACCCAGACTAAGTAGGATAGCTCCATCTGTAGCATTTTGTAGAAAGTCCAAAATTGGCTTTGGCAGTGGATCGGGTGTTTCCTTAATTTGAATTCCTCCAACTTCTATTACTCCTGGGAAGTTGGGTCGGATGGGACCTTCACTCAGACCATGAGAATTGAAGAGCACGAGAGATACATTTTTGTTGAGATCTTCATATTTTGGCATACTCAAATCATTTCCATAGACCTCTCTGCAAAAATGGTCAATAATTAAATATTTTCTTCTTTATGACTCAAGGTGAGTTTCACTTACTCGTAATATTTTTTATTATCTTTGTCAATAAGATACGTAATTATCTCGACCATATTGATTGTTATGTAATTGATCAATCGTTGTCCGAAACTCATTGCTCGACCTTTTTCAACGGAAAGAAACATAGCTGGAACATAGGCTTGTGAGTGGGTATTGCCAAGCATTGGGTTGAATACTCCCGATGGGAACATTGAAGTCGCCAGTACCACTGGCACCCTCAGCTTCTGAGCTATGCCTATTTGAAAGCTATTAAAGCAGTAACCGATCATAACGAGATCGAACTTGTTATGCTTGTTCTTGTACAGATCTTTAACTCGAGGATTTTTCATGATATCACAGTTTATTTGATTCACTACGAAAATTTCTTTCCGCATGTGAAACATTGATGTAATTATGTTAGAATTGTCTCTCTCAGTCATGTTGGCTATGCTTTCCTCATGGGCTTTGCGCTGCTCCTCAGTAAGTGGTATGTATATAAGATTTAGATTCTTGTGAGTGACATGCGGCTTCAGAGATGTGATCACTGTGACGTTGTGTCCATGCTCAGCCAATACCTTGGCCATTGATATTTCAACAATCAAATGCGAAGGAGCAGGAAAACTGAATACTGCCAAAATGTTTGCCCCACGCGAGCCATTAATTAGGAGAACCGCGAGAAACGAGAGGCAAAAAATCTTTGAATCCATGTCGACTGTTCGATGATACACCGAGCACTGATCTTGGCAGACTAAGAACTAGATGTTAAATATTATTGAGTGCAGAGTGCAAATAAGATGAATATTGAATTTGCCTAAACTTAAGGCACTGCTGATAATGCGAACCATTGTTTGCCCACAAACAAAAGCAAACTGTTCGTATCGCACATAGATTGTAGTGCATGATAAGCTGAGACCTAAATTTAGTTTTGAAATGCATATCAGCTTACAGCAATGTAGACTTGCTATTCTACAGATTTAGAAGACTGCCATAGCTGTTTACCAGGCAATAAGTATTTAGACATCGATATCTATATGTATATGTTGGCCAAAATATTTAGCCATGACCTTGGCCAATTCATTCACTGTTGCGTGCTATCGGTCTGGTTCCCTTATCAGTGCCAATTAATGCGATGCGTGGCGAAGTTCGGTCTGTGCTCACTATTTGTATCGTCACAAAGACCTGTTCCACTTATTGTTTACAATCGCTCGCATTAGGTGTAGTTGTGCTTATCAGCGACAGTCGTTTTGACAAGTCTGAGTATATCGCAATTGATACTGCATATGTTTGTAGTTAAGTTATTGGCGAAGACATGGCTGTAGTGGAAATTTTAGGCCACAAGTGGCTTTATCTATGGAAGCGAACCTGAACTACTAAGTAATTGACGGAGCGACTTGTGATAGATCAATAATTATAGTGTCGATCTGTTTATCTCTCTGAACACCTATCCATTTGGAATATCTTACAAGCTGAGGCTGACTCTGATAGTAACGGTCTCTAAGCCACCTGATGAGGCAATCCACTGCCCACACGATTTCAATAGATATGACTTAGGAGAAAGGTCATCTGATCTGTCAGTCATGTTCATTATGGCTAGCTGTAATTAAAGGAATTCCATGTAAGCTCACATTCTTCAGTCTCAGCTTCGAAATAGTCAAAAGTTTGTTAAGTGTGCTCCAAAATCTATATTAGAAAATCAGTTAAACTTGAAAAGATCTGAGTAAGATACCAATATGCCCAATTATAAACTATATTGCAAGTAGCTGACTCAAGATGAGAGCCAAGCTGATTCCTTATATCTTATGCCTGCAAAGGCGCATCCATTGCTTGTTCATTCCATTTTATCTTGATTTATTGCGAGCAGTATGACGGTCTTGAACAGATTTGACTATTCAGAGAAAATAAAATCGTTTTATTACAGGCATAACTATTCAATATAGTCAATAAACAAAAACTACATATAAATACCAAGACTGCCAACTTAACCCCAGCACATGTTCATCATATTTATTCCAGACTGTACAGTCTTTATAGCTAATAGCTGCTAAAGACTCTCAACTGTCGAGCTAGTTCCAGGCTATGACGCTATGGCTGAAATACTTGGTAACTTTATTACATAAATTCGCAAAATACTTTTGCACGTTACAATGTTGCTGTCTAGGTTTATGTTTCCCATACACTTGTGCAGTATAATTTGCAGAAAAAAGTGGAAATTCTTCAAACTATCCAACGTGCGCAATGAAAACAAAATACCATTTTGCAATAAGCAAATTTCAATTGAAATAGCAAAGCGGCAAAAGGCATGCTGGAAGCCAGGCCCCCAGCCAGCAGCTCCAATACTCAATGCCCTGCCGCTAGCAAGCCACACTCTACCCACTCGTCCAACATGGTCGATGGAACGTAGACGAGATTTCGGGTTATTTTTGCTAAAAAAAGGTAAAACAAAACATTGCTAGACGAATCTGAACGGCACGACGAAGATGAAATGCTCTAATGGCAGGCATTTTAGATTAGATTTAAATGTATTTTAGATCGAGTTGATGAGAGTTTGAAAAATACAAAATATAAAAGAAAAAGAGACAACATTTTGTTATTATTAAATCAATTCTGTGAATATAACTAAATGAGCTTTTGATGCAAAGATTATCTTAGCAGAACTAGCTTTCGGTTAAGCATAACACAACTAAAAATAAAAGAAGTACTATCTACTCCTTTCAATATCCGTAGCTCATCCCAAACTTCTTCTCTTCTTTACACATTGCACTAATACTCAACTGTAAGTGTATGTAAAAAGTACAGTGTAAGGAATTTGAGAAATCTCTGCAATTGTTTTATGTAGTTCCGGCGAGCATGTGCGCTTTGCTGCAAATGGACACGCCAGGCGCAGGGACGAGAGGGCGCCAACGGGCTGGTATGAGTGGCCGAACTTAGGATACCTCAATAGCATTTGCAGACACAAAATAGCGTATCGCGTGAAATATTTCTGTAATTAATGCTGCAATTGTATATTGGCATCGGTTGCATTTACCACGCTTTCAATCATTTTTTATTAACTGTCAGGTGAGAGGAGTAGCAATTTCATTAGGTTTTTATCCAAAAACATTTCGTAAGCACACATGCGAAAATATGTTTAAAATGTGTAAAATATAAAAATTCCATGTGAGCTTTTGGCATTTTCCGGCTCTTCTTCTTTTTCATTTAGTAACGAAATACTCTTAAAATATTTATAAATGAAAATATGATTTACACTTAGCTGGGCATTTTCATGGCCAGCAGCAAGTGGCCGTCAGAAGCAAAAAAAAAAAAATAATATAAAGAAAATGGATAGAAAAAGAACAATTTCAGCTCTGTTGGATGAATCCGCAAACAATTTCATCTGATGAAATGTTATTTGCATGAGAAAACTGAACGAGAAAAATAATTGAAAGAAGTGCAAAATAGAAAGAAATGCTGCAAATATATATTTTTTCTACACTAAATGCTATTGCGTATAATAAAGTTAAAATTAAAAAAATAAGCGATATAAATATATCTCAGTATTGCACACGAGTGTTGGAAAGTTCACAAATACAATTAAGAACACGGCGGAGAACAGATTTTACTCAAGTGCAGCAACAAAACTTTCAATGAAAAATAAAATATTTATATACAAAAATATTATACAAATAAATTAAATAAATATATATATTATTAAAAATTTTCGAAAATAAGATATTTATGATATCAGTAATATATATACCTCGGCAATTGGGGATCTCACAATTCAATTAAATTTCTTTCAACACAAAAACTGCTTACACACAAAACCAATCTGGTTCAGTCTGAAGGTATGGAATACAAATCTGCGGAGTCTCATCAAAATTTCACCTAAACAAAATTCGTAGCACACAGGCCAGCTTCCTCTGACTAGTCAGTAGACGATTTCAGTTTCGAAACTAAAACATTTGTAGCTCTAATTTGCCACAACCCCAATGGACTTAGATATATTTACCATATCTGATTTATCAGCCTTCCACATTACAAGTCTCAAGTATTCAATAGCGACGAACTGACAAAGCGATCATTTGTATTCTATATTTATCATCATTTCAATATATTTCTACAATGAAATTCAATTAATAGTTAACTATTTATTAAACTCTCAGAGCCTTACACAAAAAAAAGACTTCCTTCTTCACTCGAGTGTTCCGGCTTGGCATTCCCTCGATCCTATTGTCCTCTTCAGTCTGCCACTCTGAACACACATTTGTACGCATATGCTCTCCAAATATTTGTCTATCTTTAATTTATTTAATTGCATAATGCGCCACTTGAGTATCAGCTCATGCATATGAATCTGATTCAACTAATTTGATTTGCAATCCTGTTTCGTAACCTTCCCAGCGGCAAAAACTAGTTCCTCCAAACTGTCCTGTTTACACAAAAACTGTTCCCATTAATGTGTTGCTGTTGGCAGTTTGTTTAATTAAAAGTGGAACAATACAATGCTGAGAAATACAAGCGATCCCGACTGCCTTGAACAAACATAAAAAGCGACGCATTTCCATTGAAAACCTTTTCAAGTACTTTACATACCCTTCACAAAAAAAAACCCAACCAATCTGTGGATATAGAGAAAAAACTTGCCGCGTCATGGGCATTGTCAAATGAAAACATTTTACGCAGTAGTCATAGAGCATAATTCATAAAGCCGCAGGGGAGACAAAGATCCTCGTACCCAGGACACGCTGCCTTTCCCTCTCCCTCTCCCTCTCCCTTTCCCAGGCTGATAGCAGCTTGTGATGCGTGTGATATGCGTAACCTACCCTACAACCTCAGCTTCAAGTGGCAATGGCAACTGATATGTCTCAATCAGGAGTACAGCAGTTTTATGTTCTCTCTCCCTCTCTCTCTCACCTTCTCTATTTGTCGCTCGCTGGCAATTTGCACCCCGCACGTGTCGTGTGCAATTGCAATTACTTTTGGTTCAGCATTTTAACGATGGGAAACTGCATTTTCCGCTTCGGGCTCGCAACTTTCTCGCGCACTTTGCCCAAATTCAATTTCGATTATATGCCCACTACTGAAAGGTTGGCTTGCGTGGGAAAATCGTTTGCTGCGGTTTGTCTGTCAAAAATATCCCTTTTATATATTTCTTTTTCCGCTCAGATCAGTTGGCCGCTTTTATATTGTGGGCGTGGCTGTGAATTTCGCAATTTTAAATTACTTTCATGTGCTCTCTGCGCTGAATTATGGCAAAGAGACATTGACGACGCGACGCGACGCGTGCCCCAGCTGCAGCCAGGCTCTGGATTTTCAATTTTTGCATTGTTTGGCCCCAGCTCTCCTGCCCACTCTCACACACTGCCTCTCTCGGACTGCGGTATTGCATTTCATTTGTTTTGCTTTGCGGACTCGGTGGGTGGGGCCGAGTTTGTAGGTAATTCAAATTTGTTGCTGCGTAAATTGAATTGCTGCGAAAGCGCATAAACATTCCAATCAATTTGTTGGCCAAATGAATTATGCATTGGAAATTTCACGAATTCGGTTCTCGGGGCCTGAACCAAATTCATTTTATTGGTTGTGGTCGATGCCACAACGCGCACAGTAACTATTTATTAGCGAAATATGTGGAGAATTTCGTAAGCATGAGGTTTCAGCTTGATATAATTATTGAAGGGCTATGCGCCACGATGAGGCGGGACATGCTTCATATATATTATTTAGGTGA